GAGTTGCGTGGTCGGTGTCTGCTCAGGATTTGACGATCATGTCGTCCATGTATACCTCGAGCATGTCGCCGATCTGTTTGTTGAAAACTCTGTTCATCATGCGTTGGTAAGTCGCTCTGGCATTTTTCAGTCCGAAGGGCATTACGTTGTAGTAATAGTTGCCCGAGCTGGTCATGAATGCCGTGCAGTGTTTGTCGCCCAGGGCCATTGGGATTTGGTTGTATCCCGAGTAGGCGTCCATGAACGACAAAGTTTTGTAGCCGGCCGAGTTGTCGACCAGCATATCTATGTTAGGTAAGGGGAAAGCATCTTTCGGGCAAGCCCGGTTGAGATCAGTATAATCAACGCACATTCTCCATTTTCCATTATTCTTTTTTACAAGTACAACATTTGACAGCCAGGTGGAATACCGGGCTTCAGAAATAAAATTTGCCTCTATGAGGTCTTTTACAGCTTTTTCAGCAGCCTCCGTTTTTTCTGGAGACTGCCTACGCCTACGTTGTACTACGGCCTTGGCGGCTGGATTAATGGCGAGGTGGTGACAGGCGACCTCAGGGTCGAGTCCGGGCATCTCCGCCGCACTCCAGGCGAAGAGATCAGCATTCTCGCGCAGACAGGCCTTGATTTGCTTCCTGGCCAAGTCGGGGAGGTCTTTGCCAATCTTCACTCCCTTGGTCGGGTCTGCGCCGAGGGGAACGAGTTCAAAATCCCCGTCCGGAATTGGTCGGAGTGGGATTTGCTCGCTGCTGGATGGCTCGTCCTGATCGAAGCGGGCGTCGAGGGCTATGGAGTCGACCTTTGGTGGAGCCTTCTGGACTTCTTCCTCGGGGGATGCTTTCCTGTCGGGCTCCTGTTTTGTCCTTTTAGAGGGTCTGGTCCCTATGCCGACGGTATCCCGTCCCTTAGAAGCAGCGTTGAAGCACCTACGGGCAGCGGCTAGGTCTCCTTGGATGGTGGCTACCCGTGCCCTTCTGGTGTAGAACTTCATCTTCAGATGGATGGTCGAGGGCACCGCTGTTAGCTCTGCCAGTGTCGGTCTCCCCAAGATGCAATTGTATAGAGACGGGCAGTCAATGACGAGGAACCGGACCTTAACTTGTCTCGTAGCCGTTCCTTCGCCGAACGTAACCAGGAGCTCGACATAACCCCAAGGTTTGGAAGTCGAGCCGTTGAAGCCTTGTAGATCCGACCCCACGTACGGAGAGAGATATGAGTCATCCAGTTGTAAGGTTCGGAACAGCTGGCTGTACATCACGTCGACGGAACTCCGTCGACAAGGATGCGATGCACATCAAAATTGGCCATTCTTGCCCTTATCAGTAAGGGGATGACCGCGTTCGGGGCTCCGCCGGGGAGTTCTTCTAGGTAGAAGGTGATGGGCTCTGACCTGCCCTTCACCCTTTCGAACGTTACAGTTTGCGGGGGAGCCATGTCGACCAGCTCGTCCAACTTCCTCTTAGCTGAATTGATGGTGAGGTCGTTGAACCCGCCCCCGTTGATGACCATGGCGGAGGGAAAGTATTCCCACCTGCTGTGCGTTGTCAGCGGCTCCTGCAGGTGCTCCGGAATGTCAAAATCCTCGAGCCTGGTTACCGAGAAGGCGGTCTGGATAGGCACCGACTCGTCTGATGGTCGGGCGTCTTCTTCGGGCTCCTTGGTTTCATGGGCGTCACGACGAGGAGCGTCGTTTCGCCTGTACTGCGCGAGCCTCCCTCCCTTGATGAGGGTTTCAATGGCGTCCTTGAGGTGGACGCAGTCCTCTGTCAAATGACCATGACTCCTATGGTATTGACAGTATTTATTTTTATCTGCCCCTGGCTTGGCGGGAGCAGGCCGGGGACGCTTGACGCCGCCGTCCTTGAAGTCTGTACTGGCACACTCCGCCAGAATACGCTCGCGGGAAGCTGTGAGCGGAGTGTACTCGGTGAAACGGCCCGAGGGGCCCCTTTGCTCCCGGACTTCCCGGGGTCTGTCTTCTTTCCTTTTCTCCCTGGTACGTCGGGGAGGAGCCTCTTGTCGTGAGCTGCTGCTGTTGTTGGGACCCCAAGCCCTTGAGTCTCGGGCCCTGTTGGCAGCTTCCCTCTCCTCGTAATTCATATATGCTCGGGCCTTATCGAGGAGGGCATCAAAAGTCGGAGGTGGCTCAATACCCACAGCCTTTCTGAATTCTGTGCCGGGGAGGAGACCCCTCTCCAGCAAATATCTTTTCATATGGTCCGCGCAGGGGACCTGTATTGCTTCTCGGTTGAAGCGATTGATGAACTCCCTCAAGGTTTCATCCTGTCTTTGGATGATGGCCTCGAGGGCCGCCTCGGTCTTCGGATGGCGCCGAGAAGCTGTGAAGGAACTGATGAACTGGTTCTTCAGGTTCCGCCACGATGTGATTGAGCCCGGGGCGAGTCCTTTATACCAGTCCATGGCCGCCTTCCTGAGAGTCGTGGGGAAAAGACGGCACTTGATGGCCCCCCCCCGACATTATGATAGTGGAGCATGGCTTCGAACCCGTCAATGTGGTCGACCGGGTCCGCAACTCCGTCATACTCCTTCAGATGTGGGGGCTTCTCCATGCCCGGGGGGATGGGTGCATCCATGATGGCCTGCGACAGGGGACCGCGGGGGTCGTCCTCGTCGCTCCTCTCCGGAGAAAGAGATGGGGACCTGTAGTATTGTCTGGCACGGTGGTCGTGCTGAGTTTCCCTCGAGCGTGATGCTCGGTGGTTGAATGTCACACGCCCGTCCCCGGCGTGCCTCTTGTCGTGCCTTGCCGGGTCGCGACTGGGTTCTCCGGCAGGGATGGCGGGCTGTCTCTCCAAGTAGGGGCGCCTCTGCTTTGGCCGGGGAGAGGGGGTTCTGGAGTTCTCCCTGTAGTGTCTCCGCGGGGGAGAAGGGTGTCGAACTTCTGTGACCCGAGGAGGGGGAGAATGTGGCCTCCGATGCCTCCTCGGGGGTCGTCGGTCATCTTCAAGTGCCCTTAGTCTTTCTCCTTGGGCGAAGATGAGATAGTTTGTCTGATTAATGGCCGCGAACAGTGCCTGAGTCGTGGCATCTGCCCCAGCGGGAACTGGGACTTCGTGGAACCGGGCAGCTCTGAAATGAGCGAGAGCTACCGGGTCGTCCTCGAGTGGTGGTGGGATCGGGGAGGATGATGAGGTGGCCCCGTCCCTGTGCGAGGAAGTTCCGAGGACGGTGGTTGCAGGAGCGGTGTTGACGGGATTGATGACGTTGTCGAGATGCCCGTTTTTGTCCGTCGTGCCGTTATTGGTGTCGGTGATACGGACGTTCTGCTCGTCGCGAGCTGGATCAGCCATGACAGGTAGTTGAATTGAGCTTTGGTCTTTTGAGTTGTTCGTTAGACGGGGAAGCTAGTTTCCCACAGACGGCGCCACTGATCTAGACTGATCAGAAATGGACCGTCACGGCTGGCTCCGAGCAGAAAGCTTTTTGAACGAAGTGGGGGGGGGGGGGTACCTGCAAGGCACTCCGATGCTGAAGTAAGTAGAAGTACGAGCAGGTAATATCAAGTGTATGGTTAGAATGATGAATACCTGACCCTCTGGAAACAGAGGATATTTATAGCCCCCAGCGCTGGGCCAAGGTTCCTTCACTGGGCCGGGCAGGTTTGGCCCAATGGAGGAACTGCCAGGTTCTACGTGCGTAGTGGGGACCCGCACGTGGTCCCCTTCTTGGATGTTCTGCGTGAAGTGCGGGCGGACGGAGACGCGGTCTTTTCGGAGCCTAGTTGGGAGTGCAGTGGACTGAGTCTGCCCTAGTTGGGGTGCTCGAGGTGATGTCGAGCTGGACAGCAGGATGTCGAGCTGGAGATGTAGAGGTCGAGCACATGGCCTCAGGGAGCACGTCGGCCACGACTGTGACCCTTTGGTCGGCGTGGTCCTCAGCTGAAGATGTAGAGGTCGAGCACATGGCCTCAGGGAGTACGTCGGCCACGACTGTGACCCTTTGGTCAGCGTGGTCCTCAGCAAGTCTATTTGGATTGGGCCTTGGCAATGCTTTTGGGTCTGTCGGGCCCAGTCCAGAACAAATATTAATGATCTAATTAGTCTAATTAAAAAACACATATATTTTTAATTCTTGGTATATTCATTAGATGAAATAAAAACCTATTTTTTTGTGTTTTATCTTTGTTTGATATTTTTTTATAATTAAAATCTAATTAATTGAATCAAAACAAATTAAATAATTGACTTAAATAAAATAAATGTTTGATTAGAAACTAAAGGGTGTAATGCTGGAAAGAAGAGTGAGAATCAGACGTATAGAAAGATAGGTCCAAAGGCCCATTCATTAAAAAAACCCTAATTTTAAACTATAATAAAAAAAATGAAATGTAAAAAGATTGAAAGAATGACCGTTGGTACCAGTTGGGGCGACACCTTCTAATGGATCTCTTTGACCAATTTAAAATTTAACTATTAGTTAATGGATCTGCGAAACGTGGGAATTACAAGGGAGGAAAACAAAACAAATATACCAAATATACATTTACAATGTTAGTAAAATAAATAAACAGAATTCACTTTATCTCCATTATTTTGTTCGATGCTTTCTCTCTCTTTCCTATTGCTTGTTCATCTTTTCCTTATACTTCTTTCTCAATATTGAACAAAAACCTTTAAATCATTTATTTCGAAATGAGGAAAAAGAAAACAAAACCTGACTAAAAACGCGTGGCCGGCGAGAGTATGAAATCTCCGCATAGCTTGGCGGTGGTTCGGTGGATCCATCGTGAAGTTGGTGGTGGACGCCGGTGTTGGTATTGTCGGTGCGGCGGATCTAGGGTCTTATCGGAATCGTGCGTGGCGGCTTTGTGGTACATGGCGCGAGCTGATTCGTTGACGGCCATGTGGTACTACTGGTGGTGGACGCCGATGTTGGTTTCGTCGACAGTTGTTTTGTAGATCAGTGAACGCTTGGGCCTTGATGACGGTCGCTGTTGAGGACTTCGAGCATACACAACGTCGACACAAACCAGAGGTGGTGTCCTAGTGTCTCGGATTTAATTTCCTCCTTCTTCTTCCGGTAAAAAACAAAATATAGCACCAAACAAACAGAAAATGATGATGATAAGTTGTCTTCATGTCGATTTGAGAGTGTTTCGTTGTTGACACTTTCTTGTTCTTTTTCTCTAATTGTGAGAAAAATTTTAGGTGTTCTATCAGAATCTTAAAATACCTGTTGATAAGATTGTTGATCTCCATATGATTGCTGAAGGAGACTTCAGAGTTTCTTTGTTGTAGTGCAACACAAGAGATTCGAACCCGCAATCTCATACTTGCAAACTTCATTCCTTACGAACAGTGGTATGTTACTCATTTGAAATAAAAAATCCAATTGAAAGTATACGAAAACGAACAAGTATTTTCTATTTAAAATATAAATAATTTGAAATAAACGATTATACGTTTTTTAAACGAGAGAAATAATTATTGTTAAAATGTTAGTAAAATTGAACCAAAGAATATTATAAAAATCAATGTTGAAAATATTTTTGACTGTAGAAATAAAATGCAGACAAATTTGGGATATGACAGTTGTTCCTATTTAATTACTCTTCGATTGAGGGTGCGAGAATGCGCATGTCTCGCACATTCAAATCAGAGGGTCATTAATAATGGAAGACCCCAAAATTTGACTCAAGATTGACTAGATAAGGATATACTGTAAAGCATACCCCAGAGAAATGAAGAAAGATAGACAAAGATGATGATGTATCATCTTACCAGAGTTAGAGCAAGAAGTATGGCGACGCAGATAACTCGCCAATACCTAAAAGAGATCGTAGATTTTTCACGTATTTACCATAACCTAGAAGGTAAATAATAAAATTTTGAAAATTGACTTACTAATGCTTCGAGACTAACATAATAAGCTATAACACAAATTTTGTCTATTCATCACAGCCTAGGGAATGAATAAAATGGAGCTTGATAATACATTTCCGCATGGAGACTTAGCATAATGAATTAGATCGTAGTGGGACAGATAACCTATTGCTGCTTCGAGACTAACGCAATGAGTTATATCGCCGACTTCGTATATTTACTACAACTTAGAGAGTAAACAATATGAGGATATGCTTATGTATTTAGCACGACCTATAGGATAAATAACATAACCTGATAATTCACATATCTACCACAACCTAGAGGATAGATAATATGAGGAAAAGCTTATGAATTTATCACGACCTAGAGGATAAATGAAAAGATGATAGGCTTATGTATTCATCACGACCTAGAGGATGAACAATATAGTTCTGATAATTCGCATATCTACCACAACCTAGAAGGTATATATTTGAAAAGATTGTGCATTTATCACGATCTAGAGGACAAATGACACGAGGATAGGCTTATGTATTTATCACGACCTAGAGGATAAATAACATAATCCCGATAATTCACCTATCTATCATAACCTAGAGGATAGATATTTGAACAATGTTTTGATAATCAAATCTTCAGATACTTAAACCAAGATAAGATCAGAGTTTACTAGTTGTGTTTGTTCTCAACCAAGGTATTTGTTTGTTTCGCTGATAAGCTAGTTCAATGATGAGCCCTAAGAAAAGTTTGTAGTTTAACCAAAAAATGGATTTGAAAAATGCCATGCATGATGTATATGCATAATGCCTTAGATTGATATGGAACCCAAATGTATATGCACTGAATTTTTTTCTGTATATGCACCAAATGTTTGTATATGCACCATATGTTTGTACATGTCCCAAAATATTTGTATATGCCCAAAATATTTGTATATGCCCCAAATGTTTTTTTTATATTCTCTTCTTTTAAACTATTGGTTTTTTCTTTGTGTCACCGACTCTCCAACATTGTATGTTGTGTTGTCGTGGTGTCTTTGAGTTGATTTGAATAAGATGAAAAAGTGAGATTTTGATATTTATATTGCAGGCGTAGGCTTGGACATAGACATGAACGCATGCATGGACATAAACATGGACATAGGTGTGGATGTGGCTGTAGTCGCAGGCCGGACGTAGTCGTAGATTTTCTTTTGATATTTTTCTAACCAAAATTCTTTTTGATGTTTGATCAAATCTTCTATTTTTTTGTCAAATCCCCAAAATGATTTCAGCGCAATAGTCATAAGGAATAATCGTGGTGTTTTGCAAACAAGTTTGAAAAAGAAAAAACATAATTGAAAGATTTAAAAAAGTAAATGTTTTATTAATAAACATGCCTTTGAATAGGTGCGAGTACAAGATGTAATTCCTAGAAAGAGGTAATCACAGAAAGTTTAACAAAAATTGAAAATGGAAATGAAAATGATAATTGGTATTGTTGTTTCTCCAATGTCCTCTTGATAGCTCCAATCTCCTTTGCTTCAGAGTCATATGATTTAGATTAATCACTCTCCTTCGTGGTTGTAATCGTGGTTATTAGATCACAGTCTATTTGTTCTTTATTTTGAGTAAGATCCCTAACTTTTTCCTGGACCGCCCTTTCGGGTTTTCAATCCACCGGGATGATTTTTTGTTGATGTCCCTAAATTTTTCCTGGATCGCCCTTTAGGGTTTTCAATCCATCAGGACACTCTTTTTTTCCTAAGTCTCCCGTTTAGGGTTCGAACTTAGCGAGATTTTTATACATAGTATTTTTTTTATTGCATCAGAGTTTGTCGGATGTGACAGTTCTTCCCCCATCCATTATTGTGAGGATAAGGCCACCACCCGAAAATGTTGTTTTTACCACATACGGACCTTCATAGTTGGGTATCCATTTACCATGTGAATCAAGGCGAGGTAGTAGAATCTTCTTGAGCACCAAATCTCATTCTTTGAATACTCGAGGTGTTGTACCCCAAAATTTTCCCTCTCATCTTATTCAAGACATTCTCCAAGGATTCTCAAATGCTTAAGGTAGCTCAAGAATTGATCAGATAAATTCTCCTCCTTAGTAATGGACTCACAACTAGGGTTTTGTATTTCTCAAGGAAGATTGGGTTTCCAAGGTATCAAATGGTTTTCATGGTTCTTAATATATCCCTAAGAATTCTCATACCAATTTTCAAGCCTTGCATCACAAGTTTGCCCAGTCAATGGTTCAGATGACTGAAAATCAATTGTATTGGGTAAAAGTCAATTGTGGTCAACATATAGTCAAACCTTAAGATTTTTGGTCAACATCAATATTTTGAAGCTACATTCATCATTTGATCAAGGGTTGATCATGATTTCTCAAGAAAAGCCCTCAAATCATCAAGAGTCAAAAGTTACTAAATTAAGGTTTCCTTAGGAGAAGTCAACTGAACTTTGACCAAGCATACCTTTCACATGCTTCATCAGCTTTTCCCCAACCAAAGCTCATTTTGAAGGGAATTCATTTCCCTACAACTTTCTCTCTCTAAGCTCAAGTCCAAAAAATGCATTATTTGAGAGATATAAGCCAATACATTACAAGTCATTTCAAAAGTCAACAAAAAGACACTTTTTGTCAAGGAAACTTACATCAAGATAAATTCTTTAAAAGCAAAAACTAATAGATATTGTAGATGACACCTTGATCTTTCCAAAAAGTCCAAGATCACCTTCAAAAGATGAAAATTGAGTGAGTTATGACCATTGCAAGTTGGGATGTTTTTGAGCAAATGCATGAAGTTCAAAGTGAGCAAACTTGTTATTTTGGGCTATTGGGTCATGGTTTAAGAGTCCAAATGTGTATTATACTCCTCATACACCTCAAATTTTGTTCTTACATCTCTTGACCTATTTTTATTTTAATTATTTTAATTATTTTTTATGTATTCATTAATAATGCAAAATATATAAAATAAAATACATAGGCCTTTCTTACAAAGACCAAGCCCATATATTTGCCCTAATTTCCATTATATAATCTCATTCTTTTCATACAAACAAGGACAGGAAAACCTTGCCTCCCAAATACTTGTCAAAACATCAAATTTTACAAGAACCCTAGAAATCTTGAAACCCTTGTTACAAATATTTTCACTACAAACAAGCCATCTCATTCACTTCTAGGAACTCAGTAGGGTAAAACTGGTTCGATCTCTATGATCCAAAGGGCGTAGAAGCATTCATACATGCCATATCAGTTTTAACATTACTAAATTTCATATATTTGTTTTCCTTGTATTTCATGGTATACTAACTTGTTTAATGTGTTCATGAGATTCAATAATACATAATAAAACAATCGTGGATGACCCATGCAGTCAGAATCTTAAATCACCATCGTTGCACCGATCTGCACCATTTGCGCTATAGCTCTTAAACCAGCCAGTTTTAGACTAAAGTAATTATCCCATCAAACTCGCAACCCTCGATTTAGGGGGATATGATGTTTTTGGGTTTCTAATTCTGTGTATTTTGCAGGTTTGGAAGAAAAAGGCAACCGGAGAAGACGATCGGAGCTAGGGCTTTGGCGCCTCCCCGGTCAATACTTTCATGTTTTATATTTATTTGGTTTGTTTCAGCATAAGTAATGATGTACAACCGCCCTAGCGGTAGAAGTGCGTGCGATAAGTCATTGGTGTCAAAGGGCCTGGGTTCGATCCAACCATTTTCCACTTTGTTTTCCTAATATTTTCATATTTTTGTAGGATTGGATATAACGCGTTGAACCTGTTATCCATCACCAAGGCGCGCTTGGCCTCGTGGTGATTGTACTGCTGGAAAGTCCTGAGGGTGTGGGTTCAACACCCACCCCTACCACTCTTGGTTTTTATACAATTCTTTATCTTTTTCATAAAACCTAACATTTTTCACAAACCCTAATTTAATTTTAGGTTTTTAATTTCATCAACTCTAATTTGATTTTTAGGTTTTATTAATTAAATTAAAATCAACTTAGATTTTAGGGTTTTGATTAATTTAATTAACTAATGTTTTTAAATCAATTAAAATCAATTAGGTTATTAGGTTAATCGCCAAAAACTCTTTTCTATCAAAAATCGCCAAAACAATTTCTTTTCCTGTTTCTTTTTATTTTACAATTTCGGCTATTTTATTACTGTCACGTGTTTCATTATTTTTTCCAATTATGTATCTGCTAATGGTTTATAATATTTTAATTAGGGTTTACTATTTCCCCCGGTTTTATTGTTTGTACCCCCGCTCCTGAAGCCTTGTAATAGCGTAAAATTTTATTTCCTGCATTTTACTGCTTTTCATTATTGCTATATTATTTTGCTAGTAATTAGGGTTTGTATGAAAAGATTAAAAACAATCGTAGAAAACCCTATTGCAAGACTAAAATAACTGAACATGAATCACTTTTCATACACCCACCTCTAGGGTAAC